TTTTTTTTTCTGCCTTTATTTTGTTTTGATACATCCAGGTGAACGAAGCAGGCATGATACTCTGCTCACTACTTTGGCAACACTTAGGCACTCATTACCTGTCTCCTGGTGGGTGTGATAGAAGATGGGAATGTGTACACAGTTCTCTGCATTCATGTAGAGCAGTTGAGGGTAGGCTGGGCTGGGGTTGGCTGTCATTTGTCATCAAACAAGTGATGCAGGAGCAGGAGCATTTGCCCAGTGGGTGGGACAGAAGGTACAGGTGTAGCTTGGTAGTGTAGATATAATTGCTGCCTTTAGCCAAGTGGGACAAAAACAAACAACAACAAAAAGAGAAAAAAAGGAAAAAAAAGAAAATTAGTGAGGGGGGAAAAAAAGTAAAAAGAAAACAAAGAAGAGAAAAGAATGACAAAGAACAAAGAAAAGAAAAATGAAGAAAAGAAAAATTTTTTTAAAAAGAGAGAAGGCAAAGAAAAGAAAAAGAAAATGAAAGGAGAAAACTGGAGGCGGGTGGTGCTTGGTTGATGCTCCTGGTGGCCAAGGAGGCAGCAGGGCACAGGGTGCCTGATCCAGGACTGCACTTTTACTAGCATGGGAGGTGGCTGTGGGTGGGTACCTGGCCCAGGATGACACTTCTGCCAGCCTAGGAGGCAGCTGGGGGCAGGGCATTTGGCCCAGGACAGCATTTCTGCTTTTCTAAGAGGTAGCTGGTGAGGAGTACCCAGTCAAGGACATTTTTCCTGGCCTAAGAGGCAGCTGGAGTGGGACACCTGGTCTAGGATGGTGCATTCTGTTAGTCTGAGGGGGCAGAAGGTATGAGCCTTCAAACGTGGGGGTGGTGTACATGTGGCACCTGATCTATGATGGCATGCCTCCAGCCTCAGGCAGGGCAGGGACGGCAATGAGGGTATCACTGGCTGCCAAGTGTGTGGGTGGGGGATGGCCACACTTCTGGTCACCGAAAAAAGCCAAAACCACACTCAGCCATCGAGTCGATTCTGACTCATGGAGACCCCCATTGGGTTTCTGAGGCTGTAAATCTTTATAGAAGCAGATTGCCCCATCTTGCTTCCATGGAGTGGCTGGTGGGTTCTGGTTAGCAGCTAAATGTTGTATCTACTTCACCACCAGAGTTCCTGCTGGTCACCGAAAAGCATAAGGAATAAGGGGAAAGTTCACCTTTCTGTTCACCAACCATCAGTGTGAGTGCTGGTGCAGTCCTGGGCAAGCAGAGCCAGTTATCAGGTTCCTGCCTCAATTGTAGTGCCGCTTGCAAAAATTCAAAATGGCCACACTGTGTCAGGCCAGTTGACAAATCACCACTGTGCACGTCTTTTTGTTTGCTGTTTTCATTGCATTTCTTCTAGTCAGTATTTTATCTACTTCTTTATCTTTTCCTTTGAAGCTTAAGGTCCCAGGATTACCATCAGTATCTGTTTCACTTGGTTTCTCCTGTCTTTGTTTTAGACGGTCTGGATAGCTTGTCTGCCTAGTCCACGACCTTGCCAGAAGTCCCAAATAGCATATACTTTTATTTCATTTTAAAATTCCATGTTTAATTCCTTGTCTTCCTGTTTTTTTATATTTGCTTTTAAAATTTCTTTACCTTTCAGCAGGAATATTTACAGCAATTGTATTTAGTGTTTTGTCTATTCTTTCTTTTTTGAAACTCTAAATAGACCTTTAATGACTGGGTATGGTTTAGGACTTAAACGTTGAAAGATCTAGGCCTTGGAGACAGAAGTGGAGGGATCAGTAGGCTGTTTGAGACTGTTGCTGTTTTTTTAAAAAATGCTTCCCTTTGGCTTGTAATGTATACTTTTGTCTTTTTAGATAACTGAAAAGGTAAACAACCTGTTTTTGATGCTTAGAGATTTTTCTTAGTGTCACAAACATTTTATATAATTTGTCTCTTTATGATTCAGAAATGTTTTGAACAGTGGTAGCCTCATTGAAACACTTGTGTATTCTCCCTGCATTGAACAAGAGACCACTCATTGGTATTATAAAACTGAACCAAAATTAAATCTGTAGAACTGCCCCATAGGGTTTCCAGGGTTGTAATCTTTACAGAAGCAGGCTGCCTCTTCTTTCTCTCTTGGAGTGCTGGTGGGTTCCAACCACCAGTTTTTCAGTTAGTAGCTGAGTGCTTAACCACTGTACCACCAGTGTGGTTTATTTGTTGAAGTCAGTATGATAGCTATATAGTCATTCTTTAAGCCATCTTTGGATCTTAAAATCTTTTGGAGCATAGTCCTACTCAAGATAACATTGCTTGCCCTACTGATGTGGATCTTAAAGAACTGATGATTGGAAGTCTTGGCTGTTTCTGTGTAGGAACTGGAATCATGTGTAGAGACCAGGTCCTTAAAGGCAATGCAGGAATCACAGAGCTTCCAGCTACAGCCGCTGGATCATTGGCCTGAGGAACAGTCCCAGAAGCACTGGATAAAGAATCCAAACTCTGACCTTCCCAAGCATCTAAATGCCAAGATGATGCCACAGTCCTTGAAGGAGAGTGGTGAGTACCAAGAACTATGGAAACACTGAGAATGGAACCTTCTCCCTCAGAGGGAAGGGGTGGATAGTACGGAGGGGTGCCTGGGTAGGAAGCACATACAGATTTCAAGGCAAGGCCATAGACTAGTATCTGATGGATATACTCACTAAGAAGTAAGTAAGTACTGGAAAAGAAAATGAAGGTCCCAGTGACCCCAGCGGGCCCCACTGTAGCCAGAGTCATGCAGCAGATACAGGCTGGATGCAGCAGGATGGTCATGATGGGAGTACAAGGCTGGCATCTTACACTTGGCACATCACTCGAGGAGGCTTAGGATCTAAACACTCCAGAAGGAAAGTGAAAGGAGAAGTCTGTACTAGCCACAGGATAGTGTCAATTTGATCCAAGCATGACTTTTGGAAAGCTGGAAGTGAGACTGGAGGAATGTCTCCTTGGAATTCAAAGCTTGGGTCTCAGAGACTTTTTCTTCTCCTCAGCTGTTCTTACTCCCTGGGTCCCTGTTCTCCCGAAGATAGGGAGCATTGGTGATTGGGAGGTGGCTTCTGAGTCCCAGGTAAGCTGCTGCTTGTTTTTCCTTGCCTGTCAGCACTCCACCTGTGCTCCTGCCCCCAGTGTTTCTCCTCTCTCCCCATGGCTTTCCCTCGGCAAAGGGCACAAGCACAGGGACTGCCCGGCCTGGAAGCCTGTTCCTCCCATCCATAGTTATCTCTCCTTGGCTTTACTACTCCTGATGTTGCGAGCCTCATACGTGGTGCCCCTGCATTCCTGTTATCTTCCCAGTGGCCTGGTAGGGATCCCAGGCTATTTAAAAGGCAGTAACATTTGAGTTGCCACAGTTGTCACTGTTGTTCTCTTGTGCATCTCACAGGAAGCCTTGGGACCTGGAAAACATGCTGAGAAGGAGTTCTGCAAAGACACCCCAGGAGATGGCTGTGGGAATAGTGTGTCCTTGGGTAAGGAAACAATGTTGTGTGAAAAAGAGCCCATCAGATTTCTAGTATATTCTGTTCGCAAAGAATGTCTTGTCACTGCCTTCAGACTGAATTCAGTGGTTGGAGAAAAGTTTCTTCATGTGTGTATGTGTCTCTCACTCACAGTGACCCTGTGCATAATAGTACAGAACATTGCCCAGTCCCGTGCCATCCTCACAATCCTTGCTCTGCTTGAGCCTATTGTTGTAGCCACTGTGTGAATCCATCTTATTGAAGGTCTTCCCTTTTTTCTCTGACCCTGCATTCTACCAAGCATGATATCCTTCTCCAGGGACTGGTCCCTTCGACAACATGACCAAAGTAAGTGAAATGATGTTCAGCCATTCTCACTTCCAAGGAGCATTCTGGCTGTACTTTCTCTAGGACAGATTTGTTCATTTTTCTGGCAGTCCTTGGCATTTTCAGTATTCTTTGCCAACACCACAATTCAAAGGCATCAGTTCTTCTGTGGTCTTCCTTATTCACTGTCTAGCTTTCACAGGCATATGAAGCTAGGGAAAGGACCATGGCTTCGGTTAGGTGCACCTTACTCTTCAAAGAGGTATCTTAGTCACCTTAGTCAGTGATCTCTCTTAGTCTCCTTTACTTTCTCCCATTCATGAGTCTTCTCCCATGCTAATCCTAGACTCCCCAGGGAAATCCTTCATTATTTGGCTTCCCACATCATTGTGTCTACAAGAAAGGAGACTGCTGGTCATGTGGACTTCAAGCATTTATTTATCATTGTGGTTTAATATATCCATCTCTTAGACTTAATTCACTTGACTCTGTTCCTGAGAGATGGCTCCCATTTGGTGTTGAAAAGCTCAGACTTCTAAGGCAGTAGGTTGTGACCCCAATCCTGAGGGGCACTGAGGTGAAAGAAGGTGATGAGACTTGAGAGGGCCAGCTCTTGTAAGCCACCCTATCAGCCTCTCTCTGGGCACACTCTATCTCTGCCATCACAGTGTTGGCTGCAAAGCACAACTCTTCTTCCTATCTCTGAAATTCCGTAGACTTCACGGAGCCATTAGTCTTAAGAAAGTGACAAAATAGTGGCTATTACTGCTCCACGGATATTTTAAGGAATTAGCATGGAAATTTCTCATCTGCCTCTTACAGGGAAAGGGTGAAAGTTTCAGGGACAAACTGTAAAACTGATAATTTCTGCCTAATTATTTCTCTTCTTCCTTTTGTTTAGGAGTTCTAGTTTCAAAACCAAATAGCACCTCCCAGAGAGAGCAAGTATCAGAATTTTGGGGTTCAAGCCTTATAAACTCTGGTAAAAGGAACATTGCAGGAGATTTTAGCATGGAAAATACACAAGCAAAACCAGCTCAGGCATTGGCCTGGAGGAACTCAAGGACCTGGGAAGAGCAATACCCATGGGACATGGAGGACATGAAGGTGTCAGGTGTTCACTGGGGCTATGAGGAGACCAAGACTTTCCTGGCAATTTTGAGTGAGTCTCCTTTCTCTGAAAAGCTCCGGACTTGTCACCAGAACCGCCAAGTGTATCGGGCCATTGCAGAGAGGCTAAGGGCACGGGGCTTCCTGCGGACACTAGAGCAGTGTCGCTACAGGGTCAAAAACCTCCTACGGAATTACCGGAAAGCCAAAAGCAGCCACCCACCGGGGACTTGCCCCTTCTATGAGGAGCTGGAGGCCCTGGTGAGGGCTCGAACGGCCATTAGAGCCACGGACAGCCCAGGAGAGGCTGTGGCACTCCCTAGGCTGGGGGATAGTGATGCAGAGATAGATGAGCAGGAGGAAGGGGGCTGGGAGCCTGAGGAAACAGCAGAAAACTGTAATGGTGATGACCTGGCCATTGATGAGTCCGTCCAGGGGCCCAGGATTCCAGGGGGCCCAGCTCTGTTCCAGAGTCGTGTTGGTAAGAACATAGGGGTTTAATTGGATTCATATTCCAACCTTCCTACCAGCCTAACTTTTGTTCCCTGAGGTCAGGACACATTCTATAAGCCTTGATTGATATCACTGGAGTAAGGTGTTCAGTTTCTTAGGGCATTCTCTAATTCCTGTGCTGTTCTGCTGTGATAGCTCTTCTTATACAAGTTTTGGTTATAAAGCATACTTTTTTAAAGCTTTAAAGGACCTTAAAGAGCTAATCCAGTATTTCCCGAAGTATGTCACTGGCAGTATGGAGATGGTTGGAGATGGTTACAGGTGTTACATTGAAAACCCCATTACCAATTGAGTCAATTCTGACTCATAGCAACCCTATAGGACAGAACAGAACTACCCTATAGGGTTTCCAAGACTAAATCTTTACAGAATCAGATTGCCACATCTTTCCCCTTGGAGTGGCTAGTGGGTTCAAACTACTGACCTTTCAGTTAACAGCTGAGTACTTAACTGCTGTGCTTTTGAGCCTGATTTCAGTATTACATGAATGGACTTTTAATTTTAATAGTCATTTATTTCTCTTAATGTGTATTAGAAAAAGTATAACTAGCACATCAACCCATGATTTTACAGATACTAAATTTAGGTAAACAGTTTATCCAGAATCCCAGAATAGTTTAATGGAAATGTAACATATTGTTTGTATAAGGACAAGAATGGGGCACAGGAAAATGGAAATAGTTTAGTTACTTCCTTTTTCCTGTGCCCTATTCTTGTCTTTATACAAACACCATTTTTCCATAATATAATCATAATACATTATCTCCCTCCCACCACTTAACATTATATCTCTACATAAACTAGACTGTGAGCCCCTTGAGGGTGGGGACTGTGTATTTGTATTTGTATTCAACATGCCTTGCATAGGGCCTGGCACAAAATGAACACTTGAGAAGTATTTGGTTAGCAGATGAATGGATGACTTATCTTAAGATGCATCGCATAGTAGATAAGATCACAGACCCTGGAGTCAGACTGCCTGGGTTCAGCTTTTAGCTTTGCCACATCCTAGCTTCCTGACTTTCCATTGCGTTAGTTTCTCTACAGTCTTCATAATTATCCATTTTATTGGCTGCCAAATATTCCATTGAAGTGGTTTGCCAAAGTGTCCTCAATCATTCCTCTGTTATTGGCCTTGGAGGCAAGAATCTATACTATGTATTAGAATAGCAAAGGGAACAGCATGGCAGGAGTAGGTGTGAGTGTTGGGCAGCAGTAGGGGATGCAGTTTGAGAATCATGCAAAGACTTGAATTTAGTTCTGTAGCCAGTGATGGCTCTTTAAATCACAACTTTGAAGGGCAGTGACAAGGCCATACCATTTGACCAGGTCTCTAAGATGCAGGAGGGTCAGCTAGAAGACTTTCATAAAAAGGAAAAGTTGGGATTCTTGGTTGCTCAAGACCAGGCAGTGAGTCTTACTGCATGCTTGCTGTGTGCATGGAGCCCAACCCAGAGCCAGAGACTATAGAAAATGAAAGACAGACCCTTCTTAAAGGCCATTTGGATAGATGAGATAGATACACATGTGCGGTGGCAGGGGACAGTATATCATACATTACAAATCTCTGTGTTAGTACATTGTATGGCTGTTGTCTGATGTAATTTTCACAATAGGCTGATGAAGTAGGTAGGTGCTATCTTTGTTTTACAGTCACGATAATAGAGGTTCAGAGAAATTAAGCAGTACTTTCCTAAAATTATTGATCCAGGATGTGGTTAAAGTTGGAATTTAAACCCAGGCTGCTCTGACTCAATTCTGTAGCAGGCTCATGTCAGCTGTGGTAATAGTTGAGGGTATATTAATAAGGTGAGACCAAAAACAAACAAACTTCAAGACAGAGTACAACTGCCCCATAGGGTTTCTAAGGCTGTAAACCTTTATGGAAGGAAGCAAATTGCCACATCTTTGTCCTGTGGAGAGCCTGGTGTATTTGAACCGCTGACCTTTTGGTTAGCAGCTGAGTGCTTAACCATTTCACCATCAGGGCTCTTTAGATAAGGGGAAATAAACCTGGAATACCTTAATAGCAAAGCAGGCATAATGTAGCGAGAAATTTTAAAGTGGTCTTATGAAGCAGTGGATAGCAAATAACTGTGGTAGGAAACCTGAAGTAACCAGGAGTTGTCATGGAATTTGGAATTTATCTGGTGAGTTAGGGCTTTAGTGTACCTTTGGTAGAGATTTAGATTAAGTAAATATGGGGATAATCTCTTGGATCCCAATTACAGACCTTTCCCTGAACCAGTCAGCTGAATCTCGGTGAGTGGAGTCACCTGGTATAATATGGCCTCTTAAGTCCTTCCCTTCAGCTGACACTCTTTCAGTGTTAATATAATCTCTTAGAAGAGGGTAGGGGGAGGTTTGGCTGACTTTCCTAACACACCTCTGAGAAGCAAGGGTATATTCTTTGCTGGTGCTTCAGGCACCTGGACAATATCTGAGAGACCTATGCTCTGGACATTAGCAGGGCAGGTGACGCTGATTGTGATGACCTAGGCAAATCTCCTTAAATCTCACAGTTCTGAACTCTTCATTCCTGACAGCAGGTGTGCACTGGGGCTATGAGGAGACTAAGGCTTTCCTGGCAATTCTCAGCGAGTCCCCATTCTCTGAAAAACTTCGCACCTGTCACCAGAACAGCCAGATATATCGGGCCATTGCAGAGCGACTGTGTGCGCAGGGCTTCCTGAGGACACTGGAGCAGTGTCGCTACCGATTCAAAAACCTCCTTCGAAGCTACCGGAAAGCCAAGAGCAGCCATCCACCAGGAACGTGCCCCTTCTTTGAGGAGCTGGACTCATTGATGAGGGCTCGGACTGCAGTTAGAGCCATGGGGACCCTGAGGGAGGCTGCAGGTCTCCTCAGATCTGGGCAGAACAGTATTAAAACTGATGACCAAGAGGTCTGGGATGAGATGGCAGAAGAAGATGCCATCAAACCTCCAACCCCATGTCCTAAAACCCTAGACACTGGTAAGCCTGGAGTTACTGGCACACAGAAAAAGTGAGGGAGTTAGACTCATTATTTTTTGTCACCAAACTAAAGAGAAAATGAGGCTGAATATAAAAACAGTTTGTGCTCTGCTGATTATCCAGTCTCTGACCTGGTGTGATCCCCTAAATGAGATAGCAGCTGTCAGTCTAGATTTTACTGAGATACATCTGGGCAGTTACAGAGTTTACTCAATCTCATGTGACACAGAATATACTGAATACTGTTGATTAGATGTAGGTATTTATTATTGAATAGTGAGATACAGAAGTCGGCCAGTGGGGCTGAAATTTTGCTCATGCCACACGGCTCCCTCAGTGGGGTCGCCATGTCCCAGGCTCCATTTCTCATGTCCCAAGTTTTGTAGGTCAGGTATGTATGCCCCAAAGCTTGATCGATTTAATGTTAGCTACATTCATAAGATACAAGTTCAGGTTACCCATATTCATGATATAAGATTGTCGTCGTTAATTACTGTCAAGTTGAGTCCAACTAATGGTGACTCCATGTGTGCAGAGTAGAACTGCACCATAGGGTTTTCAAGGCTGTGACTTTTTGGAAGCAGATTACAAGACCTGTCTTCCGAGGAGCCTGTGGGTGGATTTAAACCATCAACCTTTAGGCTAGTAGTCGAGTGCTTAACCATTTGTGACACCCAGAGATTCTTCAAGATATAAGATACAGATAGATAAATAAAAGCTAATTAATGAATGAAAATACCTGCATTTCTGTTCATTCTTTCAGGTTTTGAATTAAGGCATGAGGATGAAGACCAGTTTTCAGAGCAGGAAATTTTTGAAGATTTACCTGGAGCTTTATCAAAATGCAGCACAGAGGATATTTGCCAAGCTCATGATTGGGAGGAAGACAGTGAAAATGGAAAGGAAGGTGAAAAACGGTGGGGAGCACCCCTACTGGAACATTGGGAAAAATCTTCTGAAGAAGAAGACTTAGAAAAACTTATTGACCATCAAGGCCTGTACCTGGCAGAGAAACCCTACAAGTGTGACACATGTGTGAAAAGCTTCAGTCGGAGCTCCCACTTCATTACCCACCAGCGAATCCACACAGGTGAGAAGCCCTACAAATGCCTTGAATGTGGGAAAAGATTTAGCGACCGCTCCAACCTCAATACCCACCAGAGAATCCACACAGGTGAAAAACCTTACAAATGCCGTGAATGTGGGAAACGCTTTAGTGACCACTCCAATCTCATCACTCACCAGAGAATCCACACAGGGGAAAAGCCCTACAAATGTAAGAAATGTTGGAAAAGCTTCAACCAGAGCTCAAACTTGCTGAAACATCAGAGAATCCACTTTGGAGGAAATCCTGACCACTGTAGTGAGGCTAGGGAAAGCTTCGGCCAAAGCTCATCTTTTAGTACTCACTGGAGGAATTCTATAGAGGAGATAGCTCCTGAACAACCTCCAAGTGGAAGCAATGTCAGTAAGAAGTTAAATTCTCCTGGACTACAAAGCAGCAACTCAGAGGAAAAGATTTATCAGTGTTCTGAATGTGAAAGAAGTTTCTCTAAGAGCTCTGCCCTCATTAGTCACCAAAGAATCCATACAGGAGAGAAACCATATGAGTGTGTTGAATGTGGGAAAAGCTTCAGCAAGAGCTCTACCCTGGCTAACCACCAGCGAACTCATACTGGGGAGAAGCCATATAAGTGTGGAGACTGTGGGAAATGCTTCAGTGAGCGCTCCAAGCTGATTACACACCAGAGAGTGCACACAGGAGAGAAGCCCTACAAATGCCTTGAATGTGGGAAATTTTTCCGTGACCGTTCTAATCTCATTACTCACCAGAGGATTCACACAGGAGAGAAGCCTTACAAATGCAGAGAGTGTGGGAAATGCTTTAACCAGAGCTCCAGCCTTATCATTCATCAGAGAATCCACACTGGGGAGAAACCCTACAAGTGCTCTGAGTGTGGGAAAGATTTCAACAACAGCTCTCACTTCAGTGCTCATCGGAGAACACATACAGGAGGGAAAGCATCATAGTAGACACCCCTCCCCACAGTAAGAGAGAGAGAGAAATGTATATTTAAAACTCCCAAGATCTTAAGATGTATGCTGCTAGAAAGAAACATTTCTAGTTTTTAAGCTTAGTGTATGCCCAGGGAAGTTATCTTGGTATAATACAAGTAATTTGGAAGTGAATTACAAATACTAAGGATCTATATTTGAAGACACTTTTCTTAAATGTAATTTGTTTTTCTCCTATAAAAAAACCCACACAGAATTCTCAGGTAGTCCTTACATTTGCTTTTGTGTCTCTGGGTGGCGCAAATGGTTTGCGCTTGACTGTTAACCTAAATGTTTGTGGTTGAGATTCATCCAGCAGTGCTGGGGAAGGAAGACCTGGTGATCTGATTGCATAAACATTATAGCAAAGAAAACCCTACGGAGCAGTTCTGCTCTGTAACACATGGGCTTGCTGTGAGTAGGATTTTAAGAACTTTATCACTGTTCAAGCCAGGCTGGTATCTTGGGATCTCCAGAGGTAAATCAGTGGTCTTGAGCAGAGAACCAAACCTTTTGTGTGCTTTCACACTTGTGTGCACTCACACCCTATCAAGAGTGGTTTTTATACATGGTAACTTTCAATCAGGTCTTATATTCATGGGAGAACTTTAAGACTCTGGTAAACGGAGCGTATTTGGGAATCAGAGGTCTGGAGGAAGCTACCATGATCCTGGCAAAGAACAGAAACAGCAGTGACATCACTAAATTATTACTACTAATAGCAAAAATAGCCAGGACTTACTGAGCCTTTGCTCTTTGGCAGGCTCTATGTTAAACACTGTTTACATCATCCCATTTAATTCTCACAACAGCCGCAGGAGTTGGGTACTAATACTTTCCTCACTTACCAGAGGAGGAAACTGAAGATCAAGGAGGTTGAATAGCTTGCTTCAGATTGCACTTTTCAAAGTGTAGGAGGTGGAACTCAACCAGATCTTTCTTTTTCCAGAGGCTGAGGTGCTTTTACTGCTACACTGAATTCACTTCCACATTCAGGCAGGTGTCTCAGGTGCCAGAATCTCAACACACTTTATAGACCACATTTCCTGTTAGAATTACTTTATGTATTCTTTTAACAAATATGGAACTGAGACTAAAGATTAAAGGATTTAGGACATTCGGAATTGGCAGAATGCTTTGAGCGACACTAAGCTATATCCAAACGATGTGAATTTCTGTCTTCACAATAATATGGGTGGGGCATTTGGAAGGATTGAGACTGAGAAAAATATGCAGTCACAGTGACGTTTCTTCCATTGAGATACTGCTTGAGCAAAGGAAATGAGTTTCAGAATTTCCCTTTTCTCTGCTGGGTGGGAGGTAGGGTGGTGGGTAGGTGGGGTGGGGAGAGACAATCCTGCTTCTTGTTATGCTTAGTTTGGTCGTAGATTAAACCTTGCAGGAACCTGGCATTCTTTGCCAGGGCTCACTCATACCTGCATTTTTGTCTCCTGACCCTTTTCCCTTTTGGTATGGGTGAAATTTTGTTCCTGATCTTTGCCAGACCTCAGGTGGAAGGGAGGGTGAAAGGAGTTGGGCTTTGAGCACTACTATACTCTGGGTTTTTGGTACAACTTTATCCTGAGTCATTGTCACAGGTCTACCCAAAGCTTTTTCTTCCTTTTTTTTTTTTTTTTTAAGATGGTTTTATTTATTTATTTATTTTAAATTGTGATTTGAGTGAACGTTTACAATGAAAATTGGTTTTCTATTCAACTGTTCATACACGTTTTGGTTCGTGACATTGAATGCAGTCCTCACAATGTAACAGCATTCTTTCCACTTTCTCCCTGTGGTTACCATTTCCATTTGTCCTTCTTATCTATTCCTGCCTTCTGAGCGTTATCCCTGGGCAAATACTGTCCTTTTGATCTCATACAGTTGATTGTCCTGAGTGTTTAACTCCCTGGTGTTATTCACCTTATAGGCCTGTCTGCTGTTTATCTGAAAGTTGAGCCACAGGGGTGAGTTCAGTTCCAGGCCTGTAGAGTGTCAGGGGTCATAGTCTCAGGGGTTCCACTAGTCTCTGTCAGACCAGTAAGCCTGGTATTTTTTATGAGTTTGAGCTTTTTTCCACATTTTTCTCTCACTCTGTTCAGAACCTCCTATTCTAATCCCTTTCAGAGAGGTTAGCAGAAGTAGTTGGGCATCATCTAGTTCTCATCTCAGTGTTGTGGTGGCTGAGGTTCACATGGTCCACTAGCCCTTTGGACTAATAGTTTCCATACATCTTTGATTTTCTTTGCTCCCAATGAGGAGAGACCAGTAGTTGCACCTTACATGGCTGCTTGTAGTCTTTTAAGACCTTAGTCCCTGCTCACCAAAGTAGGCTGTAGAACATTATCTTTGGGTACTACAATACGCCACTTGACCTTGATGTCCTCCACGACTGGTCTTGAGCCCACTGGCCTAGGTAGCTGATTCTTCAAGGTGGCTGTCTAGCCAGAGCTTTTTAAGTGTTAGCCCTTACGACCAGTGTCCTACACAAGACAGGCCCAATCAGGAAGGTTAATACAGTATAGTTTTCTAACTTGCAGCACACTGGCCACCCATAGTGTCTTCTTAGAAGGGTTTAAAAATGTTGACTACATCCACCTATGACATTGGGATGCCACTCATTCCCTGGTGATCTTAGGGACTTGGGGAGTACCTGTTGGATAGAGGATGTAATGGAACTTTGGAGAATGGAACTTTCTGTGAATCATTTGTGAGGAAGTCAGTGAAGAGATTGGCCACTCCTACAGAATAAGATCACTCCCTAACCCCTTCCTCTGCTTTGTAACCTTTCTCCCCAAGAACCATCCCTTCTGGGATCACTGTAGATGCATCAAACTCTGTCATTTCTTTACCAGCTTTACCTCCTCTGGTTCATGTTATCTCTGAGAGGGTGGGGTCATGATCAAAACTAGCAGATGTCAGTAACTGCAATAGTAAAATGATACTAAGGGTACCAGGATATGGTGTTGGTGAAGAATACTGAAAATATTATGGACTGCCAGAAGAACGAACAAATCTGTCCTGGAAGAAGTGAAACCAGAATGCTCTTTGGAAGTGAGAATGGCCAGATATCATCTCACCTGCTTTGGTCATGTTGTCAGAAGGGACCATTCCCTGGAGAAGGATACCATGTTTGGTAAAGTGAATGGTCAACAAAAAAGGGGAAGGCTCTCAATGAGATGGATTGACATGGTGGCTGCAATGATGGCTCAGGTACGGCAAGGTTTGTGAAGCTGGTGCAGGACTGGGCAGTGTTTCGTTCTGTTGTACATAGGTCGCTATGAGTTGGAGTCGACTCTGTGGCACCTAACAACAACAAGGATACCATTGGAAGGGAAGGGAGTTCTGGGAAAAGGCACAGTGGTGTGAAATAGCATGGATTAAGGGTGGGCCTGAAGCAACGGGAAAGGGTAGGACAAGAGAGTTACCTGAGTATGCATCGTAGTTAAAATTGTGAAAAAGAATTATGCAGAGTCAAAGAAGAATTGGGCCTAGAACAAAACACCAGAATGTAGAGGGAGCCCCCAAAGGAATGGAGAGCAATCCCACTGCCTTCACTGTCCTGTCATCTTTTGGACATTGCCTCCATCAATGCTGACACGTGATTTTCATTGTAGTCCTGGGTGTTCTGGAACGTTCACTATGGGCACTACACAGCTCTGTGTGTACGTGTTGATGGGGGCCTTCTTCCCCCTTAAGTGTGTCCTTCTCCTGCTCTTGTGTTTATGTTTTCAGTGAATAGTTCTGATGCTTTTACCATCGTTCCTTTCCCACAGCTCTTAATTTTGTTGTTGATGTTGTTATGTGCCCTCGAGTTGGACCCAACTCATAGCGAACCCTCCTTGGGTTTCTCAGGCTACATCACTACGGAAGTAGATTGCCCAGCCTTTCTTCCGAGGAGTGGCTGGTGGGTTTGAACTGCTAGCCTGGTTAGCAGTCAAGTGCCTTTAGTCACTATGCTACCAGAGCCTCCCGCGGCTCTTAACTGGAGAGGCTCAATCGTGAAAGCAAAGGCAGCGTGGGACAGGAGAGAGAACCAGGGACTTGGGTGGTCCCTCCCTCCCTGTCTGATACTTCCTTTGGAAGAAGTACTCTTTCAGGTGGCTTCCATGTGTGGAGCTTGACCCACTACCTTGCTAGGCATGCATACATCCTTCAGCTGGGCCTTTGCTGCTTGAATAAATTGACATGCAATTTACCGAGCTTAGTTAACTTGAGTCAGTTCTTGGGAAGTGGATCCACTATGAAGAATGGACAAGGGTTCTCAGCTTGCACGGCCACAGGGCAGATGTTACTTATGGAAAATTGAAGAGGTGAATACTGTGTGGGAGGGTATTATCTATAGAGACAAAGCTGAATCCCCTTACTTGATTTCTCTACCCCTGCCCCAAGAAGGGCATTGGTTTCTTTGAACTAACAAGGCACCAAAAGATCCCTGATATACAAATGGTTAACATGCTCAGTGGCTAACCCAAAGCTTGGAGGTTTGAGTCCACCCAGAGGTGCCTCAGAAGAAAAGTTTGATGATCTGCTTCCAGAAAAATCCGCCACTGAAAACGGGAGCATAGTAGCACTCTGATACACTTGCAGTCGTCATGAGTCAGGATCAACTCGATGGAAGTGGTTAACTGGTGAGGGTATCTAAAGGCTATACATTGTGCTGGCTCCCTCAGGAGGCAACAGGCCCACAGGTCGGGTGGGAAAGGTAGGACCTAGGCTGCTTCATAGGAGCTCTGGTAGCATGGTGCCTAAGGCACTTGACTGCTAACCAGAAGGCTGGCGGTTCAAACCCACCAGCCACTCCTCGGAAGGAAGATGGGGCAGTCTACTTCTGTGGTAATACTGCCTCGGAAACCCAAGGAGGGGTTGCTATGAGTTGGGTCCAACTGGATGGCAAACAACAACAACAACAGGCTGCTTCATGACTCAGCTTTTTCTTAAGCCTTGGCTATATCAGCTGAATCCATGGCATGGCTGTC